TACATATCATGACATTGAGTATATTATATATTTTATTTCATAAAGTATATTTTTAAAAGGGGGATAATGTCATGATATGTATTCTATTATGCTAATTATAACATATTCTTGAGTTTTGTTTATTACTTATTAGGCAATTAACTTTGTATTACATTTTTGCATACTGTACTTGTTAATAATAATTAGCAAGGTAAAAGGTAGAGACATAGATAAGTGAACTAAGTATGAGATGTAAGCCAGTGTGTATGTAGAGTGTAGAGTAGCAAGATGTAGGTGATTTTGTAACCTTGGATAACTTTAATAAAGAACCTTTAAAAGACTTCTTGACAAATGGGGGCTCGTCCGTACAATAGCTAAGATCAAGTTAAAGATGGCAAATAAGAAAACATCAAGTATGTACTTACTCTTTTATTAAAGTAATTGTATGTTCCTTCTTACTGTTCTAGTGTGTACATGTGAATTTGCTAGCTTACTTAAAAGGGGGATAATGTCATGATATGTATTCTATTATGCTAATTATAACATATTCTTGAGTTTTGTTTATTACTTATTAGGCAATTAACTTTGTATTACATTTTTGCATACTGTACTTGTTAATAATAATTAGCAAGGTAAAAGGTAGAGACATAGATAAGTGAACTAAGTATGAGATGTAAGCCAGTGTGTATGTAGAGTGTAGAGTAGCAAGATGTAGGTGATTTTGTAACCTTTACCCTACTATCACACCAAACTAGTTCTCACTACGTTCTCGAAAACGGGCTTCAACTGTGTACGAACGGACTGGACATACTAAGAACCGTTTGGGATCTATTTACAAACTTCATCGAACGTACTCGAACGGGTAGGTCCTCTAGAACTCAGACAATGCTCAAAATGTTCTCGTGGTCGTCACGTTCTACAATTAGAACGAGTGACAACGTACTAACGACGAGCTGGACGTACTACGAACGGAACCGTCGTACTTCAAACCTACTAGGGACGTTTTAACAACGAGTGGAACTGTCTGAGGACGTGTTGAGAACTAGGTAGAACTCATTGCAAACGGGTTTAAACTGATTAAGAACGCATTTAACACTGCTTATGAATGAGTTCGAAAAAATATAGCTATCACACCAAACAAGTTGCCACTGCGTTCTTCAAAACTGGTTCTAAACTGTGTGCGAACGGAATGAACGTAGCTGCAACTTTCTAAGGTCTATTTACGAACTTTGTGAACGTTCTCAGACGGAAATGTGATTTTAGAATTTTGAATCGATTCAAAATTCGATTGCGACCATACCGTTCTGTTATCAGGTCATGATGACCTTTTAGACTAAGGGACGCGTTCTACGGCGTTGCACACCGACGCGGTGCGACCTGAACGAACTGCGAACGAGATGGACGTATTGAAGACTGTTTAAGAACGAAGAAGCTAATTATTTCAGACATATTTCCCGACCACAGCCAGATTGAGCCCGTTTTACGACGTTTTCGTAGGACTGGCAAGAACGGGTAAGAACGAGTTTGGTGTGATAGGGGGGTTAGCTAGCAAATTCACATGTACACACTAGAACAGTAAGAAGGAACATACAATTACTTTAATAAAAGAGTAAGTACATACTTGATGTTTTCTTATTTGCCATCTTTAACTTGATCTTAGCTATTATCCCGGACGAGCCCCCATTTGTCAAGAAGTCTTTTAAAGGTTCTTTATTAAAGTTATCCAAGGTTACAAAATCACCTACATCTTGCTACTCTACACTCTACATACACACTGGCTTACATCTCATACTTAGTTCACTTATCTTTGTCTCTACCTTTTACCTTGCTAATTATTATTAACAAGTACAGTATGCAAAAATGCAATACAAAGTTAATTGCCTAATAAGTAATAAACAAAACTCAAGAATATGTTATAATTAGCATAATAGAATACATATCAAGACAGACACCGTGTCTTGTTTTCAAGATGGGCTGCCTTCCAGTGACAGATCTAGATTTTCGCAAGATATATATACAAGGGCCGATCAAAAAGTTTCTTACCGTTGGCTCTCAATTTTATAATAAGAGGAGTTGGAAGCTCAAACTTTAACAAGAGACAGGATAGTTAGTTTGCTTGAAACTGTACGAATTTCATATAGATTGGTTTATTGGTAGTGACACAGAGTCAATTCATATTTTCAATGACAAAGTTAGGTGGAGCAGCGTTATATATAAAATATCTGCTGAGTTGTGGTTCTTGAAATTTACCGACATCTTTTAAAACCTCTCATACAAAGGCCTTAAACATGTGTTTTTTGATCGATTGGACAGATATAGGAACTGGGGATTGCAACTGGGGATGAATATTTTGAATGAGAATGAATATCAGCAGAAAAACTAATTAAACATGATTAAACTACAGTCTGTTGACAGAGGACACTACTTAGTGTTAGAAAATTTCCAAAACTGCAGCTTAGCACATTTTTTATGAAAAACGCTGCTCCACCTAATTCAATCATCGAAAATATGTATTGACTCTGAGTCACTACCAATGAACCAATTTAAATGAAACTCAGACAGTCTCAAGCAAACTTACTACCCTGTCTCATGTAAAAGTTTGAGCATCTAACTCTTCTTATTGTAAAATCTAGAGCCAACGGTAAGAAACTTTTTGATCGGCCCTTGTAGTATGTAGTGGGAGGGATTCAATATGGGTTTTATTATGATGGACAATATGATATTTACCGAGAGCCCGGAGGGTCAGAGGGAAATACCAAATTGTCCCTCACAATATGTGAAATATAAAATTGTCATGAGGAATAAACCCATATTTAATCCCGACCAGTAAATTAGCTTTTTATTCCATGATATTCATAACTGTCTTCATAAAATCATTAATTAGATTTTTCTATGAAAAAATGGTATATTTAATCAAAAAAATATGACTTAGCTTTATGATATTTTTAAATATAAAAAAATTATTGTACATGTGTAACATAAACACATCAACATCAAAACATTCAGCAATACGTAAGCATTTTTGTCTGTGTCAGAGCGATGATGATAAAACTGTAATTCGTTTTTCACATAAGAACATCATTTTAGCATGCTATATCGACCCAACTGATTGAAAGAGGAAGCTTTGTTTGGCAAAAAAATTTCAATACGATTTTTTCTCAATATCAAAAATATTCCCGGTTATTCATCGGGAATTAGTAGTATCATGGGATAAATAGAGATTATCCTATATGAGGTGCAGGATATTGAACTATAGGATGATCTGTTTATCCCATACCAATCTTGGTCATTTTGTTCACGCTGTTCAATTGGCCGGAGTTCAGAAAATGTCCAACCAACCGTAAGAATTCATTTAGAATAGCCTGATTTTCAGATATTCATCCACATTTATTTCTGAAATCCTTGTTTAACAGGGATACGCTCATTTCCTTCCTTCAAACAGATCGCGATTGTCTGCCTTTTCTCCATTAACGTTTACAGTAATTATGCGCATGTTACAAAAATGAACCAATATGCGAACGGCGATTATGACGTCAGCGGGCAGATATACTATATCTGCCCGCTCAGAGCGGGACGTATAGCTATATCTGACCGCTGATGAAATATATAGAGGTTATTTAATGGGAGGTTTTTGATACAGGGTATATCTGAGGGAAATACAATATATTGTATTTAGCGAGGGATATACCCTGTATCAAAAATCGAACATTTAATAACTGATTTATTCTATACTTAGTAGATTGTGAGGAATAATAGCAAAGTCCCCTGGCTCAGTATCTACTCCCTGAATTTATGACGTCGTATATCTGCTGATCGGGAGATATATATATCTCCCGCTCACGTCACATATCAGTTATATTCCCGCATGTTATATACCTATAACACTACTAAATATGGAATAAAAGTTTTTACAAACCAGCTTTATGTACCTATAACACGTCCAAGTATGGGATTGACACATCCGCACTGGCGTAAACATATACATAGACATTAAAAAATCGATAAATCTATTTTGAGCTCTAAGTTTAAATTTCCCGCGTTTCCAATTTATTTGCGATTAGCATACTGTCGCGTCTGCGTTGCGTCTGCGTTTGCGTGAAGCGCGTAATACGACGCAAACCATGATTTGCGCTTGCGAATAATGTTGATTCGCAAGCGCAACGCAAATCGCAACGCTAATTTAGCGCTGACCGGATAATGAGGGCTCAGTTCTCGCTATAAAGTTGACCAGTCACCGTGTCGTCATCAACTTCAGACAATGTGTGCATGTCTATCTGAAGAGGGGTGGTTGCTATTTTGAGTACATTCTTTGAATAATCAGCAGATGGGCTATGCACAAACAGTGATGAAATTGCGTCATATTCAAGAACATTGGACAAGTTCTTCTAAAAAATGACAGTCTTTATTTGTAACAGTGTAAAAAGATAAACATTGTTAGGTGTGTTGATTTTAAGTAAATGCAATATGTGGGTGTGGTTTACTACAGATTATGGATGCTTGAAAAATTGTGTGGCAGTTCAATCAGTATTTTGGTCCTTCTCTAGTGATATTTTACGATGAGTTCAACCTTGAATGTCCACATACTACATGCCTAGTTCTTACACTTCTCCCTTTCCAATGGTCTATTCAAACCCTGGAACAAATATCGTCATTCGTTTGACCCTCGTTCCCTCAACTATTACAGTTCTATTCTATTTACAGTATGATACCTTCATAACTACAATTTTGGCAACCATAGGTTTGGCAAGTTTTCATGAATTTCCATATCAAAGCCTATCAATGTTTGAATCAACAATAATTCAGAAATATATGACTTTGTTGAATCTTTCTTCAACCAACAAAACACATGAACAGGCGAAACAGATAATCGATCCAAAAGGGGATTTCCGAATGCCAGAGGTGTGAAGGGGAGTATAAGTTAAAATATCATCGTGCTGCGTGGTATATGCCTTCTATATTTGACTACTAACTCTTCTCAAGTTTAAAACAATACCAATGTATTATGTACAAATATACTGTACCACTTTCTGTGTTTGCATTTGTGTCAATAAATGCTTCTTCTTCATCACGTTTCTTTTTGCTTCCACTAAGATCGTTAAGCTCTGCCCCGTCGTCTGTAATTTAACAATTATGAATTATGGATATACAGAAAAAAGCATTATGTCAGTTTATGGATAACGCACATCATCCAACTTATATTACCAATTTATTGTGTATTACATTAAAGCACTTTGTGAGGTGTTACTCACATTTAAAATATATGAATGACAAAATAAAATGGTTTATTGCTCCATTCTAACATTTTCTAGGTGTCCTTGTTTAACGCCCACCACTACTAGCCTGATGTAGTATACCTATAGTACTAAAGAAATTGACAAAACTTTAATAACTTCCTCCTGTTTAAGCTCCACTGTTTTAAATATATTGTATAGGTAGATTTAATATCACTGAACATATTTTTGCTTATTGAGCAATGAGCATCACACAACATTACCGTTTATCATTTGTATTTGGGATTACGCAGGGGTCATTTTCAACAGATTTTTTTCATATTTCAAAATTTCTTTTGAATAGGTAATAAATAAGTAAAAATATCATAAAATCTTAACATCAAGAACACTTTATACGATTTCAACTGAAAAATAAGACAAAAATGGACTCCAAACTCACAGTGGGTGGTATAGCTCATCTAAGACTGTTTAATTTTTAAAACTTTATTGTTAAAGTGTAACGATTTAAATTAGTCTATATTAGTTATGATTACATCATGGACTATTTCTAAATTTGTTGAGCATCATACAACTTAGCAGATTTTCATTAATTTGAGATTTCAGCAGGGGTCTAATTTACAAATCATCAATTATAAAAACGAAATTACATACATTTGATTTGTACCTAATTTATGATGATACTTGATAGATCCTTTTACCAATACGTTAAGTGTTAGAAACAATAAAATAACATTCCACATTGATATATTCAATTGTTTTGGAAGGGGTATGACTTGATGATTTCTCGACACTTTTTAATTAATTCAACTAAAAAACTAATTAATTCAACTGTTTTCTGGTAAGAGGGTGCACGGGGTACAATGCTATTAAGTGCTTTCTATGCACTTCCAAGGTATATGAGTCAATTAGAAAAAATAATGTCCCTTTTCATTGCATTGCATTGGCACCAAACACGTCATCATCCCCCATGCCTACATACGCCTTCAACGTGCCTACATACATTTATGTATGCTCATACAATCAAATTTTATTGCCAATAAGATCATGAATCAAAATGTAACAAGATAATGAACCAAAAAAGGTATGACAATAAGTGAAACTCCAGTGATAAAGACTATAGATGATTAACAACATGGATTACACATCAAATAAATAGTATTCTTTTACTTGTCAAATCCTGAAGAACAACATAGATGTACAATGAAGGTGAAATAATTGTGTCTTTTATGTTTTAATTATTTGAACAAAAAATACAGACAGACAGATGGTCTCATTTTAAATTTAACAAATGAAATAGATATATCATGCTAATTACCTTTCAATCGACAAATTCATTAGTAGATCATCACTTGTAAACTTTAAAAAAATATCAAGATTTAATATTTTCAATTTTTTTTGAACCCCTGCTAGACCCTACATTAATGAGTAAAAGGTAATGTTGACAGGTGATTAATAGGTGAAAACGCATGTAGGATTATATGTTTTATAATTTAAACATATACAAAACAATTGGCGGATCAACATAAAATAGGATGATGTTAAAAGAAAGTGAACTAAATGGAACAATTATTTTTAATCATTTTGAATGGAAAATATACTCATGCATACGATCTTATTTTCAAATAAATAGATAAAATCAATAAATCATGCCAACATCCTTTCAAAAAACCGATTCATAAGTAGATAATCCGTTGCAAACTTCAAAATTATCAAAATCTAATTTTTATTTTTGTGGACCCCTGTTAAACCCCTCAATGACAAGTAAACGGTAATGTTGACAGGTCCTCAACAGGTGAAAACGTATGTAGGAATGTATGTTTTAGCATTTTTTAAAAACTCATCAAAATGATTGGAGGATCAACAGGAGGAAACAGCTTAATTAAGGATCATCTGAAAAATTCCTTTATCACTACTTTTATCACTAAAAAATGAAGGCTCGTGTGAAGGAGATATTTGCAGTGTTGTAATGAATTGTATTGATAAATAGGGATATGAAAATATAACACAAGATAAAAAAGATGTAAAACTTGATTATGAATATGTGAACTTCATAATTTATTAATTATATTATAAAAAGAAGTACAAAAACAATAGTGCTAACTAATATATTAACTCATACTGTAATATATTATTAAAGCTGCACTATACTTAATTTAAAATAAAAAATAAAAAGGTAATCACACACTAGCTCAAATATGACTCAAAGTTTGATTTGCTTTAATATTGAACCAAGAAAAAAGTAACTCACATAGAAAAAAGTATTTGTAGTTCAGAGATCATTAGACATGCATGCACATGTTAAACAAAGTGCAAGTTTTAAATTACTATTGATTTAAAAGATGGCGACACTTCTATAAAAATGAATGTATCATGTTATACAAACAACTCTGCCATCTTTCAATGGTATTGATAAAAACTTGATATATAAAGCTTGACAGATCGAAAATATTTTTTGATATTTTATTGTAAGCTTTGATGTGGTCCATTTGAGCTGTTGTTGATGTCAAATGAAAGATAAGGTTCTTATCAACACATTGGACATACTATGAAATATAAATGTAAGTCTTTATTTTGCCCAAAAATGTTGAAAATTCCCAAAGTGCGCCTTAAGTAAAACCTGTATACAGAGAACTGTATACAGGTTTTGTATGTTCAAGGGCCGATCAAAAAGTTTCTTACTGTTGGCTCTCAATTTTATAATAAGAGGAGTTGGAAGCTCAAACTTTAACATGAGACAGGATAGTTAGTTTGCTTGAAACTGAACGAGTTCCATATAAATTGGCTTATTGGTAGTGACACAGAGTCAATTCATATTTTCAATGACAAAGTAAGGTGGAGCAGCGTTATAACTATAAGATATCTGCCGAGTTGTGGTTCTGGAAATTTACCGACATCGTCTCAAACCTCTCATACGAAGGCCTTAAACATGTGTTTTTGGATGGAGTGGACAGATATAGGAAGTGCATTGCAACTGGGGTTGAATAGTTTGAATGAGAATGAATATTAGCAGAAAAACTAATTAAACATGATTAAACTACAGTCTGTTGACAGATGACACTACTTAGTGTTAGAAAATTCCAAAACTGCAGCTGAGCATAATTTTTTATAAAAAATGCTGCTCCACCTAATTTAATCATTGAAAATATGTATGGACTCTGTGTCACTACCAATGAACCAATTTAAATGAAACTCAGACAGTCTCAAGCAAACTTACTACCCTGTCTTATGTAAAAGTTTGAGCATCCAACTCCTCTTATTATAAAATTGAGAGCCAACGGTAAGAAACTTTTTGATCGGCCCTTGTATCTGTGTAAACAGAAATGTAAAACCAGGCATGTATAGACGGGTGTTCCTGACACAGACTGAAAAATTGTAATTGTATGCATATTTTGAAAGACGTTCTATAACTTGTAAAGCAGGTGTTCCTTACAGAAGAGTGTTTTCTAAGTCAAGTTTCACTGTATAAGTAAATTGCGAAGCGATGCGATCAACAGGAGGAAACAGCTTAATTAAGGATCATCTGAAAAATTCCTTTATCACTACTTTTATCACTAAAAAATGAAGGCTCGTGTGAAGGAGATATTTGCAGTGTTGTAATGAATTGTATTGATAAATAGGGATATGAAAATATAACACAAGATAAAAAAGATGTAAAACTTGATTATGAATATGTGAACTTCATAATTTATTAATTATATTATAAAAAGAAGTACAAAAACAATAGTGCTAACTAATATATTAACTCATACTGTAATATATTATTAAAGCTGCACTATACTTAATTTAAAATAAAAAATAAAAAGGTAATCATTGAAACGTGTTACTCACACACTAGCTCAAATATGACTCAAAGTTTGATTTGCTTTAATATTGAACCAAGAAAAAAGTAACTCACATAGAAAAAAGTATTTGTAGTTCAGAGATCATTAGACATGCATGCACATGTTAAACAAAGTGCAAGTTTTAAATTACTATTGATTTAAAAGATGGCGACACTTCTATAAAAATGAATGTATCATGTTATACAAACAACTCTGCCATCTTTCAATGGTATTGATAAAAACTTGATATATAAAGCTTGACAGATCGAAAATATTTTTTGATATTTTATTGTAAGCTTTGATGTGGTCCATTTGAGCTGTTGTTGATGTCAAATGAAAGATAAGGTTCTTATCAACACATTGGACATACTATGAAATATAAATGTAAGTCTTTATTTTGCCCAAAAATGTTGAAAATTCCCAAAGTGCGCCTTAAGTAAAACCTGTATACAGAGAACTGTATACAGGTTTTGTATGTACAAGGGCCGATCAAAAAGTTTCTTACTGTTGGCTCTCAATTTTATAATAAGAGGAGTTGGAAGCTCAAACTTTAACATGAGACAGGATAGTTAGTTTGCTTGAAACTGAACGAGTTCCATATAAATTGGCTTATTGATAGTGACACAGAGTCAATTCATATTTTCAATGACAAAGTAAGGTGGAGCAGCGTTATAACTATACGATATCTGCCGAGTTGTGGTTCTGGAAATTTACCGACATCGTCTCAAACCTCTCATACGAAGGCCTTAAACATGTGTTTTTGGATGGAGTGGACAGATATAGGAAGTGCATTGCAACTGGGGTTGAATAGTTTGAATGAGAATGAATATTAGCAGAAAAACTAATTAAACATGATTAAACTACAGTCTGTTGACAGATGACACTACTTAGTGTTAGAAAATTCCAAAACTGCAGCTGAGCATAATTTTTTATAAAAAATGCTGCTCCACCTAATTCAATCATTGAAAATATGTATGGACTCTGTGTCACTACCAATGAACCAATTTAAATGAAACTCAGACAGTCTCAAGCAAACTTACTACCCTGTCTTATGTAAAAGTTTGAGCATCCAACTCCTCTTATTATAAAATTGAGAGCCAACGGTAAGAAACTTTTTGATCGGCCCTTGTATCTGTGTAAACAGAAATGTAAAACCAGGCATGTATAGACGGGTGTTCCTGACACAGACTGAAAAATTGTAATTGTATGCATATTTTGAAAGACGTTCTATAACTTGTAAAGCAGGTGTTCCTTACAGAAGAGTGTTTTCTAAGTCAAGTTTCACTGTATAAGTAAATTGCGAAGCTTACTTTTATCGCGGTTGTAATTTACCGAACGGTAAAAGTAGACAAAATCGGAACATTTTGAACTGACTTAGATCTTTAACTTGTGAAGGTCTGAGTACCTGGACCTCTTAGAAAACATCCAAACATATCAAAAAGTTCGGAGTTTTTTTAATGCTGTAAATTGTTCACAATTCTAAATCAAGAAGTCGCTCGTATTTCTGTCGTATTTAGGAAATCATGTGGCCGAAAATCAGTGCACATTGTTCATGGTGTTGTTGTAAAATTGCGTATATGTCGTTTGAAACCCTCTCTAACGCAATTTTATTATAAACTAACACCTTAGGGTTAAACTTTTGCTCGAGGAATTAACTCATTTTCATCAATAAATATTAACCCATCAGGTTTTCTACTAGTTAACTAACGTTTAAACCTCAGTCCATTGTCGTTATCACTTACTACTAAACCCAAGTGAGATATGGCTCTTGCCTCAGCACGAGCCAATAAGAAAATTAAAACTACATATAATTTGAATAGACACAATATTGGCTAATAATGATTTCATGTAACCTGTTGTTTTCTTTTTCCGGTGTCGAATTATACAATATGCCGAAATCGCTACTACTACTGCGATTACACCAACGATGGGGAGTACTATTTTGGCAACTAATGACCCGTCTGGAACTCCAACTTGATCTGAAATAATATTGTTCATGGCAATCTACATAAGTGAAACATAAACATCCTAACAATAGCCACAAATACTATGATAAGAAAAGGATATGAATGCATGCATCCAGCGTTTGAACTGTTTGTTAACTAAGGTTTACCTTCTCAGTTTTTGTGACTGGTGAAAGGTTTCCCCAGCAACTAATAAAGTTAATGTTATTGATTTTGAGTCCAAACGTCAGATATACCAAAACGTCAAATCTAGGACAACTATTATGAAATTTCTCTCGTACGAGGGTCGAATGAAAAGTTATGAGCCTAACTTTGAAGGAATAATGCAAGATCAATAAAACTTGGCATACATTTATTTCAGTACTTTTGATGACGCACTGAGTTCCATACCTTCTGACTCCTGATAAGAAATACACTTTGCTAGACATGTCAAGAGAATTTAGAGATTTTTGAAACAGACCCAGTTGATTTCATGAAGTGATTTCTGACTGTTGGTGAATGTTGGGTCTACCAATTTGAGTCTGAGACAAAGACAATCAATGCAATGGAAACACACTTCCCCTCCACCTCCTAAAATGACAGGTGGTGTTTCTGCTGAAAAGGTGATGGCCTCAGTTTTCTGAGATGCAAATGGTGGATTATTTAGAAAATGGCCAAATCATCAACGGAGAGTGTTATTCTAATCTTTTGAGGCAATTGCGGAAAGTTATCGAAAAAAAACATCCAGGAAAATTAACAAAATGTGTCTTGTTCCATTAGGACATATGCTCCACCACACAAGTCAGTGGTTGCCATGGCAACAAAGCTTGACTGTGGCTTTAAAGTTGTTCCCAACCCACCATACTCTCTTGATGTAGCTCCGCCATACTTCCATCTATTCCCACACATGAAAAAAGCATTTAGCTGGGAAGCATTTTGACAATGTCAATGACGTCATATCCACTGTAACTGACTTTTTGACTACAAAGACAAAACCTTCTACAAAACAGAATTCCAAGCGCTGCAGCACCGCTGACATGAGTGTGTGAACCGCAAGGGGGACTATGTTGAAAATAAATAGCTAAAAAATCACTCAAGTTGAACGTCATGGTTAGGCTCAAAACTTTTCATACGTTCCTCGTATGTTTTTTAATCTTCTTACCATCCTTGCACATCGGGGGTTTTGGAGACCAGTCGCTACCGTGACCAGATTCAATACATTTAACAGTTTTGTTTTCATTTTTCATTTTTCATTTTGGAAGCTAAACAATGAACTTTTAAAAAACCAAGAATATGTATCAATGATAAACAAACTAATTGATGACACTGTTAACTCATATAAAAATGTAGTCAACGATCAAATTTTATGGGATACATGTAAATGTGTTATTAGAGATGCAAGTATAAGATTTAGCAAAACTCGTGCTTCTAGAGAAAGATGTGGGTTAAAACAGATTGAAATAGAGCTAAAATTGGCACAAGATAAACTAGTAAATGAACAAAATGCGCAAAATATTAATAGAGTTCAACAGTTACAAGTAAAATATGATATTCAGACAAATAAGAAAGCTAAAGGGGCACAATTAAGATCAAAAGTTAAATGGGTAGAACAAGGTGAACTGAATACAAACTATTTCTTATCATTAGAGAAAAGTCATGGAAAAATGAAAGCCATTGAAGTGTTAGAGGACGATGGGGTATATACAAGCTCTATGAGTGAAGTTATGGAAAAACTGTTTAAATATTACAGTGAAATGTATAAGGAAAATGGGGATATTATTTATACGTTAGATGATTTTGCAATAGACCTTGAAATGCCATCTTTAGATGATAATGACAAATTAAAATGTGAAGGTTTGATTAATGAACATGAATGTGCACAAGCTATTAAACAAATGAAATCTGACAGTAGTCCAAGGATTGATGGATTAACATCTGCCTTCTACAAAATGTTTTGGACGAAAGTAAAAAGCTTAGTAGTTAATTCATTAAATTTTGGGTTTCAGACAGGGCAACTTTCTAGCAGTCAAAGGAAGGGAATAATAGTATTAATACTTAAAGGCAAAAATATTCCAAGAAATCGTTTAAAATCATTCAGGCCTATATCATTAACTTGTTGTGACTATAAAATAGGGGCAACTGTGTTGGCCAACAGACTGCAGACTGTAATTAAAAAATTGGTTGAAAGTGACCAGAATGCATATTTGAAGGAAAGGGGTATACATCTAAACTTAAGATTGATAGATGACATAATGAATTACGTTTATAATGATGACATTGAAGGTATTATGGTCGCTCTTGACTATTCACGGGCGTTTGATTCTATTTCTAAGAAGTATGTTTATAAAGTTGTTGAAAAATTCAATTTTGGTCCTGAATTTCAAAGATGGATAGAAATTTTCACAAAAAATACACAGTCAACAGTCTCTAATAATGGATTATTCACAAAAATTTTCAATTTAGATCAAGGTTTGAGGCAAGGTTGTCCACTAAGTTCATTACTTTTTATATTATCAACAGAAATCTTTGCTTGCAAAATTCGTCAAATCAAAATGTGAAAGGAATTAAATTTCAAAACTGTAATACTGAAATTAAGTTAACAAGCTATGCAGATGACACAACCCTCTTTGTTAAAGATTTGCAATCGTTAGAGCATACTTTAGATGATACAAACAAATTTTACTTAACATCGGGACTCAGACTTAACTTGGAAAAAACAAAAGCAATGTGGATCGGAAGAAATAAAAATAATATTGAAAAGCATTTAGGAATCAGCTGGGAAGTAGGTGAAAATGCTAAAATAAAAATACTGGGGACATACTTTTCAAACCACAAACCAGCAAATTTAATAGAATCAAATTGGACTGAAAAAATTGATAAGATGGAATGTTTAATGAAAAATTGGAGTAAACGCAACTTGTCACTGGTTGGTAAAGTCTGTGTTGTTAAAAATTTGATTGCATCACAATTGTTGCATATGTTAATGGTTTTTAAATGTCCAGACAAATATTTAAAACAGGTCAATTCAAAAATACACAAATTTATATGGAGTAAATCTGGTAAAGGTTCAGAAAAAATAAAACGTAAAGTGTTGAGACAACCTTACTTAAAAGGTGGAATCAACATGGTTGATATATTTGTTAATCAAGAGGCACTTATTATGTCCTGGGTCAGGCGTTTTATTGAGGATGAAAACTCAAATTGGAAAAACATGAGTAAAATGATGTTATCAAAGATTGGATTTGATTTCAGTATTTTTCATTTCAATTCAGACTTAAAATTTATAAAACCTCAAATTATTTGGGGGAATACAACCATCTTCTATGAATTCCTTTTGAAAACTTGGTTCAAATATAAAACATGTGATGATGTCATATTTGATAATAGCTATATTTGGAACAATCTAAACATAACTTACAAGGGAAAAGTTATATTTTTTTAAAATTGGAAAAATGCAGGAATCAATTTGGTAAATGATGTACTGGACAATCAACAGAAACTAAAGAATATATATATCTTTAAACAAATGATGCCTAACAATGCAGCTATCACGCTTGAATATTTTGTCATTCAAAATGCATTGAAAAACAAGACAATTGCACTTGGTCAGAATAAAAGATTGTACAATAATATCATTATAAAAATATCAAAGTCGAAAGATTATAAACAATTAATTATTAAAAAAGAAAATATCATACCAGGAGCTTGTCAACGATGGAATAATGAATATCAAAATATTAATTGGTCTGATATTTGGAAAATGATTCAAAATATTACTGAACCGAGATTAAAGAGCTTACAGTACAAAATATTGCATAGGGTATATCCCACAAATATTCATCTATTTAAATGGAAAATTGAAGGGACAAACTCAAACAATTGTAAATTTTGCAGAAATGAAGAAGACTCATATGCTCATTTCTTCATCTCTTGTAAAAAGGTAAAACATATATGGAAAGAAATAATGAACAAAATAAATGCAAAATTTGGATGCTCTATAAAATTAACAGAAATGGAAATTTTGCTTAAATATACAAATAAGAAAAAATATATTGAGAATTATGTAAATAATATTGTATTAATAACAAAAAACTGTATTAGCAAGTATAAATATGGTCAACATCCAAATTTAGAATACTTATTAGAACAAAAGCTATATATAAGAAAAGTCATGTGAAATTATTGTGTACTATATGTATGTAAAAATATTGTATAACTGTACTTGATAAACTGAAATAAAAAAAAAAAAAAACAGTTTTGTTTTCGGTGTGGCACATGAATTGTACACTTTCTCCTTCGTTATATGTGCCTTTCATTGGACTATACACAGAATGGCCATCTGTTTGTGGTGGATCGCAATGTGCTAAAATGTCAAAAATAGTCCTCCGTAATTGATTTATTTATATATTTGTGGGAGAGTATAGGTTAATACAAGCAAATGGACAAAAAGGCTAACCATATTTAGTAAATATGACTTCAGTATAAAATACGTTGCTATACAATATTTTCCATATTTCTTGAAAGAAAAGACTTACATTTTCTAAAAACAAAGGAGCTATTTTGATAAGATATTTTGAACAATCCACCGCTCCTAAGGAAACCAGAATGTATTCTCCAACATTAGAATAATAATTTATTTTTAACCATCAAGATTGTTAGGTTTGGAGCCCAAATATACGTTTTTATTGGGTGTTCACTAAGTAATGACACCAGCACTGTGCAAAAAGCCAAATATAGTAGCGTATAAGTGGCAAACTATTTGTGAATATAGTTCAGTATGTCCTCACTATATTGTATTTGGTATGGGAAACAAACTATTCTTGCCTCAGAAGCGGAACATTTAGTATTGGTGGTATATACTCTACGATACTAAATATCGTTTGAACTATTCTCCGATTATTCTTAAGAGCCAGGAATAGTAGGATATAATTACATAGAAAAGATGAGTATAGTATGTATTACGTAATCCAAAAACAAACTATACGCCTCTTATACGCGAGGCTATATATTCTTTGATGTGCCTTAATTTGCTTGGAGTTAATCCTATTTTATTTTTCAATTAAGCGCTAATGTAAACAAATAAAATCATGCATTTCACTTAAGAAAGCTTAATCAAACTTAATGTCTGAGATCTCATTAAAAATTTTATGATGTTGAAGTATATGATTTTAAATGAATTTAAATGCATTTTAAAAATGTAAGTCAATATAAAAAGTGGAATGAAAAATTTGGGTAAATCGGTAAATTATTTATTCTCCATTTTGAGTAAGATAAGCGCATATTAATTTGAAGTTTGTTTTTAGTCTTACCAAAAATCAGCAGCAATTTCGGTGTAGTTAAAATTAAAATTAAAATGAGGTAAAGCGTATCTTGATTTCTTTGTTAGTTTTAAATTGAGACAATCCTGACTTTCCTATGACAAATTATACCCCTAGTCAGGGAGGGGGTTCGGAGGTTTAGAGTGAAGCCATCTGGAGGATTGGAAAATTAATTGTTGTATAATTATAAGGCAGAAGTTGATGATGATGATGATGCATTTTTAAATTTTAAAAAGAAAACAATATTCAAATGTATGAAATACAATAAGGAATCGGTATAAAATCCCAGGGATTAAATATTATGAAGGATGAGGGATTGCGCTGAACGAAAACTTATTTTTGTATGCAAATCATTAGGTTACATGTATAATCTATAACATATATAATAGTACGGATCAACCTTATCAACAAGTGTCACAAAACGATACAGAACAAAACACAAAGTTTAAGTATAAAATATGCATACATTTCAATATATTTGTCAATTACATAGCATACAGTAATTACAGAGTACATTATATTTTACAATTTCATGAATAAAATGGTTAAAAAGGTTAAACTCCGCTCATGAGTATGTTTAATTCAATTTGAGACCTAGTATGTGATGTGCTGTAAGTTCATCAGTATATTAAAAGGTTCAATTTGGCGCATTATAGTATAGTTCAATTTGGCACGTTATTTATGATGTTCATAATGCCCCAAACTAAACTATGCTAACACGCCAAATTGAACTTTTTAATATTGAACTGAGAGCACATCACATACTAAGTCCCAAATTGAAACATACTCATGAGCCAAGTTTAACCTTTCAATGTAAGGATGAACTTTGAACATCATAAATAACGCGCCAAATTGAACTATGATAATGCGCCAAATTGAACTTTTTAATATACTGATGAACTTGGAGCACATCACATACTATGTCCAAAATTGAAACATACTCTCATGAGCCAAGTTTAACCTTTCAATGTAAGGATTTACTTTGAACATCATAAATAATGCGCCAAATTGAACTACACTAATGCGCCAAATTGAGCTTTTTAATATATTGATGAAGTTTGAGCACATCACATACTATGTCCCAAATTGAAACATACTCATGAGCCAAGTTTAACCTTTCAATGTAAGGATGTACTTTGAACATCATAAATAATGCACGAAATTGAACTACACTAATGCGCCAAATTGAGCTTTTTAATATATTGATGAAGTTTGAGCACATCACACACTATGTCCAAAATTGAAACATACTCTCATGAGCCAAGTTCAACCTTTCAATGTAAGGATTTACTTTGAACATCATAAATAATGTGCCAAATTGAACTACACTAATGCGCCAAATTGAGCTTTTTAATATATTGATGAAGTTTGAGCACATCACATACTATGTCCAAAATTGAAACATACTCTCATGAGCCAAGTTCAACCTTTCAATGTAAGGATTTACTTTGAACATCATAAATAATGCACCAAATTGAACTACACTAATGCGCCAAATTGAGCTTTTTAATATATTGATGAAGTTTGAGCACATCACATACTATGTCCCAAATTAAAACATACTCATCAGCCAAGTTTAACCTTTCAATGTAAGGATGTACTTTCAACATCATAAATAATGCGCCAAATTGAACTATACTAATGCGCCAAATTGAGCTTTTTGATATATTGATGAAGTTAGAGCACATCACATACTATGTCCCAAATTGAAACATACTCATGAGCCAAGTTCAACCTTTCAATGTAAGGATGTACTTTGAACATCATAAATAATGCGCCAAATTGAATGATACTAATGCACCAAATTGAACTTTAATATACTGATGTACTTGAAGCACATCACATACTATATCCCAAATTGAAACATACTAATGAGCCAAGTTTAACCTTTCATTGTAAGGATGTACTTTGAACATCATAAATAATGCGCCAAATTGAACTATACTAATGCGCCAAATTGAACTTTTTAATATACTGATGTACTTGGAGCACATCACATACTATGTCCCAAATTGAAACATACTCATGAGCCAAGTTTAACCTTACAATGTAAGGATGTACTTTGAACATCATAAATAATGCGCCAAATTGAACTATACTAATGCGCCAAATTGAACTTTTTGATATACTGATGAACTTACAGCACATCACATACTATGTCCCACATTGAAACATACTCATGAGCCAAGTTTAACCTTTCAATGTAAGGATGTACTTTGAACATCCTAAATAACACACCAAATTGAACTATGATAATGCGCCAAATTGAACTATGATAATGCGCCAAATTGAACTTTTTAATATACTGATGAACTTGGAGCACATCACATACTATGTCCCATTGAAACATACTCATGAGCTAAGTTTAACCTTTCAATGTAAGGATGTACTTTGAACATCATAAATAACGCGCCAAATTGAACTATGATAATGCGCCAAATTGAACTTTTTAATATACTGATGAACTTACAGCACATCACATACTATGTCCCAAATTGAAACATATCCATGAGCCAAGTTTATCTTTCAATGTTACGGATGTACTTTGAACATCATAAATAATGCGCCAAATTGAACTATGATAATGCGCCAAATTGAACTTTTTAATATACTGATGAACTTGGAGCACATCACATACTATGTCTCATCGAAACATACTCATGAGCCAAGTTTAACCTTTCAATGTAAGGATGTACTTTGAACATCATAAATAACGCGCCAAATTGAACTATGGTAATGCGCCAAATGGTGAGATGGTGAAAAACTGCATGATCTTGAAAGAATTGTTGGCCAAGGGGAGGGGGTCGCTAGGTATGGGCCTGTATAAAATGCGTAATGTATTTAGCTGAATATTGAGCATTTCTGTGTCAAGACTGTTTGTTTTTGTGGCTGACAAAGTGAATACAGGTGGTTGTGCCTTTGTAATATAAGAGGGGGATATAAATGTCGTTTATTGTAACCTTGATGTGACAGAGAAACAATAGAGTAAACATGTGAGGAAAACTTATTAATTAAGAATTAAAAAATTATTTTTCCAATGAATTGATCGATTGAATCCAAATTTTAACACAATGTTAATCATAACATGGGGGATAATATACAATCAAATAAATATAAAAAACTTAATTTGCAAATTATTTTTTTGTTGAACTTAGAATCGTTGGCTGTAGGAAATTAATCCATTGACTCTAACAAACAGATTAGTTATCAGTGTTAACGAAACTCATTTTATAGAAATTGAATAATTAGGGATTAAAGTCTTACTTATCATATTGCTCTGACATAGCTGTATGTCCATACCGTATGTTAGTTGGAACAGTTTGTTCTTCCATGCACCAATTTGCTCAAAACATAATCATCGATTTGTCAGATGAAACATTTGCAATAAATGTAAAATGCGCCCGTTTCTTTAGTTGCATTATCACATTATCAACTAAACATACCGAATCTTGCACCTTTTGTATATGTATATATTGAAACGGAAAACAAAGAATGATTAATAAAACCAGCTGTAATAAACAGAAATGGTACGATTCTAATAGAAACAATTGTATTGCAAAGGCTAATCTCTGTTGTTTATCACGGGTGTTTATCTCAGATATCATATGGATAACAGAAACCGCATGAATTGTGAAATGTGAAAGAATATAAGTTTTGACTTTGTTCTAATATGGCTTAATACTACATGAACTTGTATCAGTTACATAATGCATGTTATTTCTTAATTTATTATAAGTGATTTGTCAGATGGAATCAATATTTCTGGTATATTACAGGCTCGTAATAAGTTTGAGCCCAGGGGGTCAATTTTCAAAACATACCAATGATTTTGAAAGAATCTTGGCAAAGGGGTGGGGGATTTACATGAACCCAACGACCCTCCCCCCATGGCCACAGACCTGTATCAAATGTGTAATGTATTGAGCTGAATATTTTTGCAGTTTTGTGTGGTTTGCGAAGTGAATAGTGGTGTTTGTTTGTGTCTGTGTAAGAGAGGGCTTTAAATGTTGTTTGTTACAGAGAAACAATGGAGTTAAATTGTGAGGAAACCCCACAATTAAAAAATCAAAAAATTAATTCCCAATAAGTTAATCGATTGAATCCAAATTTGAACACATTGTTAATCATAGCACGAGGTATACTATACAATCAAATAAATATGAAAAACTTAATTTGTAATTTATTTTTGTGGAAATAGAAACATAGACTGTAGAGATTAATCCATTAACTCTAACAAACAGATTATTTATTAGGGTGAACAAAACTCAATTCATAGAAATTGAATACTTAGGGATTAAAGTTTTACTAATTACATTGCTCTGACATGTCAATACATGTATGTGAATGATGAAAAACTGCATCTCTTTTAAGAAATTGTTGGCCATGGGAAGGGGGTCCTTAGGTACGGGCTTGTATAAAATGCGTAATATACAGTGTATTAATTGAATATTGAGCAGTTTGTGTCATGACTGTTTTTTGGTTGGCAAAGTGAATAGTACAGATGGTTGTTCGTACCTGTGTAAGAGGCCGGGGGATTTAAATGTTGTTTGTTGTAAACCTGATGTGACAGAGAAACAATACAGTAAAAATGTGAGGAAAACTCATCAATTAAGAATAAAAAATGAACTTTCCAATGGATTGATCGATTGAATCCCAAATTTAACACAATCTTAATCATAACTCGATGGACATTATACAATCAAATAAATATGTAAAAACTTTATTTGCAAATAATCTTTTTGAGAAATAAGAACCATCAGCTGGAGAAATTAATCCTAACAAACGGATTAATTAGTGTGAATGAAACTCATTTCATAGGAATGGAATACTTAGGGATTAACGGCTCAAAAATAAACTCATATAATCCGGTTTTGATTGCAAATGCCAACATATTATTTGCTCCTGACTAGAATATTATTCTATATTATATGGCAATATATGTTGTTCCCTTCAAATAATACACGAATAATATCATTAAAGAAAAATTAGTTTTTAAAAATAGTTATTATATCTTATTCCGCAATAATACAGGAAATAACTGCCTACTGTACAGGAAAAAATATTCTCTACGATTCCCTCTTATTGCAACTATATTAAACTTTTTATTCTATATTATTTTTACTTCAATACCAAGTTAATTGAAAAATGTAACTTTTCACAGACTTAATGAAATGAATCCAAAATTTAACACGGTGTTAATTATAATTCGACTGCCATTGCCCAATTTAGTAAAAGTAAAAAGCTTAATTTATAAATGACTTTTTGATGGAAATTAGAACCCTCAGTTGTAGAAATGACCAGATTAATCTGAACAAGCGCATTAATTAGCATTAAAAACAAAATACATTCGATGCTGGACTTTGCTTTTAATCTGTTAAAACAACAAACTCGCGAACTGAAGCTATTACGTAATATCGCGTATAAGACGCGTATAGTTTGTTTTGAGGTAGAATAAGAGAAGAATCAGTCAAGTATAGTTTGATATAGTCTGTTTTAATTTAATATAAGTTGTTTTTCACCGCATATAGTAGGTTTGATTCCTACTTTGAGGCGTATAAGTGGAAAATAGTTCAGTAAAGATATACACTCTGCACTGATATATGCAGCTTATTTCAGTTTATATGGGCGTATGGGAGAGTATATCAGGACTTCTATTAAAGTGTTCCGTTTTTAGGAATATGGGAGAAACTATTCTCGCCCATATTTTAGGTGATATTCAAACTATATGGGGGATATTCTAAAAAATAGTTTGCTATAGTACAAACTATATTTGGCTTTTTTCACAGTGCAGGTCTTCCATTTCTACAGTTTTTAATCAATCGTTCTAGATTTTGCACATATTATCTGACATGTAATAATGAGTGCACATACCAAATGTCATGTTTCAAGAATGAACATAGTTAATTTTATCATCTACATTTTGATTTGGTAACATGGTCCTTGACGTCATATTTTATATTAATTAGTAAACTAACACACTATCAGACATTTCAGTATAAACATGTGGTTTCAAGAGATATTTCTCCTTATATGGCACACATGTGCTTTTCCCCAAGATTCCATTTAAAGAGCGCCATCTATGAATTGAATCATTAATTATTGATAATTGAACATACATTACAAAGATTATTATTCAATTTAAAACAGCACATTCTGAAACGTCAATAATATTACCATCCGGGACTTTCAATGTGTTAATTGCATAATCAACTGTGGCGTGATCTGGCCAATCACAGTTGATCATGATGATATCTAATGCTATAATACTTACGCCATACTCTAGCCTCTGTATTCTCAGTATTGGTTCGCGAGCCATTGTTATCGTTTCTTTTAAATATGCATGTGTATATACAGGGTGACCGGAAAAAAGGAGACCATTGAAGTAATCAATTTCTCCTAAACTAGACAAGTGCCATCAATGAAATTTTGCATACACTGGAACAGTTATATGGAAATTTGTTACTGAAGGTTTCAATACAAGCATTCAACTGGTTCAGGAGCTATGATCATTTACATAACATGCTCCAAATAGGCACAATTGAGACCAACGCAGAGTTGGATTCATATGGCAAACTACCCTTACATGTTCTGCCCTCTATGGCATTATTATGGCATTACATATAGCAGTGATTGCCTTCTTTAGGTCAACAATAGTCTGAGGATTGTTTTGGTATAGATTGTCTTTCAAATATCCATACAAAAAGAAATCAGCAGGATTCAAGTCTAGGCTGTAATGGCAATGAAGGGTTATCTGACATGTGGTTCATCATCCTGTTGCCAAAGTGCTGATTTACCAAATCTTAAGAGTCACTTTAGGTATTGGGCATAGTGCCATGTTACTAAAACCCCTATATGGCACAATTAAATCCCATATGGAAACCAAGGGCTGCCCAAAACCTCCTTAGGATGATACTGTAACTGAGTGGGACCACTGAGTCAGAAGCCATAGGTCAGATAAGCTTCGTCTCCATACACCTCAAATTTGAATCCACCTGATTTCTTTTTGTGGGGCAATTTGAAAGACAATGTGTACCAAAACAATCCTGAGACAATTGCTGACCTAAAGGTGGCAATAAATGCTAAATGTAATGCCATAACAAGGTCGGAATATGTAAGGGTATTTGCCAAATGTATCCAGCTCTGCGTTGGTCTCAATTGCGCCTATTTGGAGCATGTTATGTAAATGATCATAGCTCCTGAACCAGTTGACTGCTTGTATTGACACTTTCAGGAACAAATTTCCATAGAACTGTCCTGATGTATGCAAAATTTCATTGATGTCACTAGTCTATTTTAGGAGATATTGCCTATTTCAATGGTCTCCTTTTTTTCCGGTCACCCTGTACCATCATCGGTAGAATCAGCTTTGGCAATTATCAAACCGTGAGATGTATTCACTGTATACCTAAAGTGCAAATATCACATATCACTGCAATCATGTCGCATGACTGCAGTAAAAAATAAAGCTAGTTGAGGGCCAAGGGATTTTGTGTGAGTGTTATTAGCAAAAGTTTAGATCTTAAATTCTCTAAAGTAATATTATTCTCAAAAAACTATTCAGATAAAAGTATATAATTACTTGACTTCATCTTCTTCATTTTTATAAACTGGCTTTCCACTTTTCTTGTCCCACGTCACTTTGGTTTGTTCATCCTTACGCCATTCCAGCTGTATTGTATTCAGACCCGCTCTTGTACATGGTACATTTATTGTGTCTCCCGGGCGGCCATTTATAATGTCCTTAACATCAGTTTCGGCGCCTGGCAAACAAGGCGATGTACATTTAACTAATAAGAAACGAATAGTTAATCGTTTACTTTGAAGCAGCAAATGTAAACAACCAAAATGGTTTGGCAATTGATGACGATGAAAGCTCATCAAGATTCAAATCACGATTCCTTCAAAACTGATGTATGTAGTTCGAGCGAAATCTTCTTACCTTCATTTGTGATAAACAAAAATACAACCAACAACTGTATCATTTTCAAGTACTCCATACTTCTGTCAACTTCGTTCGCTTAATACGTCGTCTTTTTTCATTGCGTCTTTTGTGTCAAATCACACATCCTGTGTAAAAATATATATACTATTATCGAAGAATGCCTATCCATAGATAAATAGTAAAGGTTGTTACAAAACTGTATATTACATGTAGACTTCAGTCCAGGGTCCACAATGTTGATATATGTTCAATTGATGTGTTATAAATCAAGCATCTATCCAAAGAGTCATTTAATTTGTTCCAGGACCTATTTTTACAATGTAATGGACCTACCTGGACCACGGCCGACCAAAAGGAAGTAAATTTACTTTCTAAGAAGTAGTTTTTTATTTGCACTGTCTTGCTCTTTAAAAAAGGTATTACAAGCACAACGTTGACACGTGGTCCAGTATACACTGTTGCCCATGAATATGGAATAGTATTTTTTTTAGATACACATCACAAACACATTTATCTACAAATCAACATTTTTATAAAAAATATTTATATTAAGTTTTAGAGAAATGTTCTCATTTTCTTAGTGGTAGCTAAGAATTTTTGCATTTTCAAGACACTCCAATCCATGTAAAGCAGATCAAACAGGCTACACGAATATGAATGAGTCTATCCCATAATGCACTAATATGCGGTATGTCCTGCTCGTGTTTCAATCAGAGCATCCACTTTGTGGGCCCAGCTGTCATTGAGACGTCTAACCCTACGCCAAATAAGGTCCAACTCATCAAACAGGACAGTGTGTAACTCTAAATTTTAAAGGTTAGGGATCACTGTCACGAATCACCCTATCAAGCTTTTCCAACATGTGCTCTACGGGAGCCTGATCAGGTGACTTTAATGCCCATTGTAGCTGGTCCAACTTGTCTGTCTTGAGGTAATCCTGCACACTACAGCTATGTGCATGAGCGTGATTATGTTGCAGTTGAAAATTACCTTCAAACACTCTGTTTGCATGTGGTAACTTAATGTTTCTCCAAAAGATCATGGTACCTCTTACATTTGACATTACGGTTGAGATTCACCAAGGGGGTGTCCCCCTTAGATGAAACCACCCCAAATATGAACAAACCCGCCCCTGTGGGCTGTCAAACCAATCAGTTTTATGTGCAAAACTGAGAAGGGAATCGAGAGACAATTAACATTTTTAATAAATTGTTATCATCTTGTAAAAACCATACCAAACAATAAAAATCTATAAATTATTCCATATTTATGAGCAACAGTGTATATTTGTCAACGTGTACCCGACTGATCAATAATTCGAAGAAATTAAGATTAAAAAATGCTACTCGAATTTCAAGTGAAAAGTTAAACATGTAATGTATTTCTTTTCTTATGACTCACAAATGTATTGAACTTTTACATATGTTTTCTTTCCATGTGCATACGTGTTTTGTTCCTTTTGGTTACATACTTGATCCGTACAGTACAGCAAATTTACGGTCTCAATTCTCAAATTCATGAAATCAAGTGTTGATAAAAGAAAATGTGTGATACATTGTTCTCTCTAAAACCATATGATACATCAAATAGAAATTCTCAAAATAGTCATAAATGCGTCTTTTTCTGACATTTCTTTTAGCATGTGAGGGTCTCGACATCATCTTACAGGCTACAGAAAAATTGGAAGTATCTACAATTTATAATTAAATGAGCATAACGTATATATAATGTTTAAGTCTCAAGCCCTATTGAAGTTGAAAAAAAAAGTTCTTGATCAATAAATCAATAAGGCGATCAATACTACACACTCAAGCTGGTTTCAAGTGCTTTGTTTTGCCTTGTCAACGTGTCATTTTAAACTTACCATAAATGCATTGTAAGATCTCCTGGCGATTCTTCATAAACCAGTACAATACAAACGCTTGCTTTGATGCACAAGTATCGCAGTGGGAGAACATTTTCGTTTTATTTGAGCAATATTCCAATTTGTATAGTTTATAAATATTCGAACTCGGTGCACCCTATAAATTCCCAAACCTTGTCACAAGAGAGGGATCCCCCTGATTAAAAAATATTTATATTCACTCATAGTTGACTGGGCTAGGCTTACGGGATAAAATTTGACGTAACAATGTTGGAATGAGTTCGGTATGAATGAAATGTCCCCGGTGTTAGACACGATTTCTCATCACGTTAGAACATTGTTTTGGATAGGGTATATTTTTCTAATGACAGGTTGAAACTTAGAGTTTGCTTTTCCTGCTGGGTTTCTTGAAGATTTTTAGTCTCTTCCCTTTGGCGCTTGTGAAAGCGTCCTCGATATATTATTTGTTTTCTTTAAGAACAAATTGATATTGACCAAATCTTTGTAGTCATTTTTATATTTTTATTTTTCAAATACAAACATTAACACGACCCTTAAAAACACACAACATATATTATAACATTAACATTGTAATACATTATAATTTTTAATGAACGTTTTTCTTTCTTTCAAATAAAAAACAACTGTGATTGATTCTACTTTTAAAGCGAAGACAAAAAATGTAAAAATAGATTACATTCTTAATGTTAACTAAAAGCAATAAGTTTGAGATAAAGAAATTATTTTCATCCATATACTCGAAAAATATCACGAGGCGGTTATTACTGACGTGTCGTACTGGGATGGCGCCCTGAATGCACTTTCGGATACCATACAAAAGGTCGCCGCCAAACGTGAATACATCACGAGAATATGCCCACGCTCACCATGATCCCGAGGTAGAAACACCGTGGTTCTGCAGTGCAGTCAGCATACACGTAGACGACGTAAGAATCTTGCGTTTTTGGATCTCATTTAGAACGCTGTTTATCTCAAGTTTTTAATTTCATTGGGACATTTCTCACGATGGGTTCACGTTTTCCGGCGACGTTGTGTATTTTCTGGTTTCCGTATGGTCGCAACAGCGCCATCCCAATCTGACGGAAGTGTTAGATCAGTAGAAACAGTCTCTTGATGTATCTGGACAAAACTATTTCATTATCTCAAACTTACTGTTATTAGTTGCCAATATATAATGTAATCTATTCTTACAATTTGTATATTGTATGTTATAAGTAGATCCAACTTCATCATTGTACTTTTTTAATAGAATTACCGTATAAGTATAACCAATTCTATCACTGTTTTTAGCTACAAAGATATAATGTAATATACCAGATCGTTCAATAAGTTCATGTAAAAACATTCTCATTTTTTTATTTTTCAATGTTTTCCTTGAAACTTTCACAAATCATAGAAAAATACCTACCCAGTGAAAACAAAAAATAAATCACTTTGTTTTGATTGGTCAAAAACTATTGTTGTTAAGGTAACCCGTGAAAACGTTTAATTCTATTTGATATATTGTGATTTATTAGTTGCGCATTATGTTCACTCTATATAAAACATTGTACTTTCAAATTGAATATCAAGCATTCCACTTCGTTAAATGCATTGTTCCTGGCACTTCACCTATTCGTCGTATTTAGCCACAAGGGAAAGCCACAAGGGAATTTAGTGCGCCACCTTAAGTGAGCTCTTCAAAAAGAAATGACCTGAAATTACGCCCTCCTCCAAGCTATTTCACCAAGACAATGCCCCATGTCATCGAGCAAATAAGGTTTAGGATACCATCCAAGATACCCTACAGATGGAGATTTTAGGCTGTATTGGACTTTGGGGTGTTTAATAGGATGAAATATGAAATGTGAGGTGTTCGTTATGCAAGCATGACAGGGTTCACTGCGACTGCGCAGATTGCAACGCGCACTAAATTCCCTGTGGCTTTAAGGCTCAATACGAAGAATGGGTGAAGCGCCAGGAATTATGCATCCAGTATAAAAGAGAATATTTTGAGCATTTAATGAAGTGCCATACTTGTAAGGAACTTCAATTTAAAAATACAATGTTTTATAGAGTGTACCTAATGTGCAACTAATAAATCACAAGAATTCAATTAAAATTAAAAATTGTTTACGTCATAAATTGTCCCGCGTGACCAAAACACGGGTTACCATAGCAACCATAACTTATGACCAATCAAAACAAAGTAATATATTTTTGTTTGTTTTCAATGAGTAGGTATTTTTCTCTGATTTCTGAAAGTTTCAAGGAAAAACATTGAAAAATAAAAAAAATGAGAATGTTTTTGCATGAACTTATTGAACGACCTGGTATATCTAGATTTTATATATTTTATGTTATAAGTAGAACCAACCTCATGATTGTTATTTTCTAATTCAATTACCTTATAAGTATAACCGATTTCATCACTGTTATTAGCTACAAAGATATAATGTAATCTATATCTGCATTTTAGATATGTTATGTTATAAGTAGAACCAACCTCATCATTGTTATTTTTTAATTCAATTACCCTATAAGTATAACCTATTTCATCACTGTTATTAGCAACAAAGATATAATGTAATCTATATCTGCATTTTAGATATTTTATGTTATAAGTAGAACCAACCTCATTATTGTTATTTTTTAATTCAATTACCCTATAAGTATAACCGATTTCATCACTGTTATTAGCAACAAAGATATAATGTAATCTATATTTCCAATTTAGATATTTTATGTTATAAGTAGAACCAACCTCATCATTGTTATTTTTTAATTCAATTACCCTATAAGTATAACCGATTTCATCACTGTTATTAGCTACAAAGATATAATGTAATCTATATTTCCAATTTAGATATTTTATGTTATAAGTAGAACCAACCTCATCATTGTTATTTTTTAATTCAATTACCCTATAAGTATAACCGATGTCATCACTGTTATTAGCTACAAAGATATAATGTAATCTATATCTGCATTTTAGATATTTTATGTTAAGAGTAGAACCAACCTCATTATTGTTATTTTTTAATTCAATTACCCTATAAGTATAACCGATTTCATCACTGTTATTAGCTACAAAGATATAATGTAATCTATATCTGCATTTTAGATATGTTATGTTATAAGTAGAACCAACCTCATTATTGTTATTTTTAATTCAATTACCTTATAAGTATAACCGATTTCATCACTGTTATTAGCAACAAAGATATAATGTAATCTATATCTGCATTTTAGATATT